CCCCCCCCCCCCCAACACACACACAACCAGTCCCCTTGGGGCCCTTTCTAACTGAACTGAGGAGCATCCAGGAGCCTCTGATCTTTCTAACTCAGTTTCCCTCTCTGTAAAGTAGAAGGTTGTAGTATATGACAGTTATGTGCTGGGTAGGATACCCTGAGAAGAGTCAAGGTCAGGGTCAGGCTTGGGATGATGAGAATCACAGCAACCTACTGCATGCATGCTCGTTCTCGATCTGCCCATCTGGGAAACATACTGAGACCCCATTTTACGGATGAAAATACTGAGGCTCAGACAGGTCAAGTTACCTGCCCAGGTCACACAGTAAGTTAAGGACAAAGCAGGGTTCAAACCCTGCCCCCAGAATTGAGGCTTTTCACTGGTGAGCTGACAGCAGACATATCTACCTAATCACCATAAGGGCCTGCTGGGCCTCGGTTTGTTCTTCTGTGAAATGGAACAGTAGAGAAACTGCCAGAGGAGGCTACCACTGACTTCCCACCTTCTTTCTCTTCTTTCAAGGCATCTCCTTTCTTGCTTCTTCTCCATTTGTCTAGGCGGCCTGGTGCCAGGTAATTAGGCCTCGAGTTCAGGGTTGGGGGAGGGGGTGGATACAGCTGACCTTCCCATCCCAGCAGCTAATCTCTGTTCTCCAGTCTCTACCAATTTATCTCAAACCATAGCCGGTCTGTGCTGGTCACCTCAGCCCTCGAGCAGACACGGAGGGCACTCTATCTCTGGATGCACACAGCTTCCCTGTCTGGGCCACCAAGACCCTCCCATGGGCTGAGGAAGCCTGAGGGACAATACCAGGAAGCCAGGCCTTTCACCTCAAGGCCTGGTTTGGATCAGCACCCAGCCCCGGGCCTGGCCTGAGCACCTTGCTCTTGTGCTGGAACATTCTAGCTTGTGATCAGCCTGTCCTGCCTCCTAAGGGAAACTGAGGCCCAGAGAGAGGAGAGAGCTGGCGAAGGTCACTCAGTGAATGGAGTATGTGGCCTGATCCTACACATACCCGGATGCTGTGTATTTCACCCAGACAGTTGGAGACCTGACAGGCTCTGTTACGGGACACAGACCGCAATAGACAAACACTTTATCATGGGAATAAAGCTGTTTCCTTCCAAGAGGGGACCAAGCTTTGGAGGGTGAGTGGGGTGGGAGTGAGGCCAGCCTGAGGGAGTGAAAAGAACCTTTATGAGGTTAATAGAGGGCTTTCCTCTGGAAGGTTGCCCTCGTCCACCCCCCTACTCCACCCAGTCATGGTCTGGGATAGTCCCCAGGACTCCTCAGGTCTCCAGGTCATTTAGGCCCACAGGGATTCCCTGAAGCATCTCTGGCCCCACAAAGATGTGAAACCAAAGCCGATGACTTTTCGAAGCCAGCTTATGTGAGCAGTGGTGGCGGGGGTGGGGGGGGGGTGTGGGGAACAACCTGTTCTCTCCCTGACCCCCCCCATTCGGGGACCCTTGGAAGAAAGCAGTGTGTGTGTGTGTGTGTGTGTGTGTGCACGGCTGCCCCGGGACGGGGAGAAAGGGAAATGTTTCCTGACCTGTCCTTGAGGGTGGTATGTCAATAGAGACAGTGGCTATGGGACCTGGCCCAGGCTATTCCCATGGTGACCAGATCACTGGATGTCCAAACAGGGACATTTCTGAGAATGAAAGGACACCATTAAGAATTATGCTGGGGCCGCAGGTATAAACTGGGGCTGTCCCAGACAAACTGGTCTCCCCGCCTTTGTCCCTCTCAGCCTCAGTTTCCATATCTGTAAAGTGATTCAGTTGAACAAGACAATTTCTACATTCCGCCCCAGTCCTCAAAATCTGTTGTTTGGCCTGGGGATTCTGACTTTTAATAACACTGAGGAATGCTCACATTTACTGCACAATTACCGCACTGGTCACTGTTTTGAACGCTTCCTGAGAAGTCCTTTGCCGGTCCTCCAAACCGGGCCAGGAAGTGATAGTGACAATAATAAACCAGAGCTATCATTTATTGAGCACTTACTGTGTGCCAGGCACCATGCGATGTACCTCAACTGCTTTAGGCTTTACAATGACCTTACGAGGAGCTAGGTATACTGTAATTGACCCCATTTTACAGATGAGGACACTGAGGCCCAAAGAAGCTAAGTAGCTTGTCCGAGGTCACAGAGCCAGTTTCAGACACAGGATCGACCCTCCTCAGGCATGTGGTCCAAGCCTGTTTTCTTCCTGGATGAGAAAATTGCAGATCAGAAAGGCCTGGTGACTTAGCCCCAGCTCACGGAGCACTCAGAACCTGAGAAGGGGGACCAGACAGACCCAGGCTGGCTCTTGGGGCCCTGTGCTGCCTGACTTCTCAGGCTTATAGCTGACTCCCGGCACCCAGTCAGGGCCTCGGAGGCCTGTGTCATGCCTGTTAGCTCATGGTTATATTTGGGCTCGGGTGTGGCCGGGGCTGTCGGGTGGGTAGGAGGAGGCAGGGTGCTGGGAGGGAGCCCCTCAGTGAACAAGCCCCCATATTGTTAGCAGCAGGTGGGCAGAGCTACAGGGAGGGAGATGAAAGGATAAAAATAAACTTTCCCGGGCAGCCGCCCAACCAGGCAGAGAAGGTTCTGTTTCTCCTCTCGGCCACCCAAGTCCAGAAAAGATGACCAGCCCCTCCTCGCCCTCCCATGACTCAAACCTGCCTGCCCAGGCAGGGCCCTCCCCGCACCAGGAAAAGCAGGCTCCCTATCTCGCTGAAGCTTCCAGACCCCTCACAAGAGACCACAGGAATGAGAGGCGCCCTGGAGGACAGCCCAGAGCCTAGAGATCTGGGCTCAGATGCTGACGTTGCCCCAGACCCCTACGATATCCTCGGGAGACCCCCTCCTCTCTGAGCCTCAGTTTTCCCATCTGTACAAGAGGTCTCAGGGAAAGCAGGAGGTGGGGGGCGGTGGTTATAACTACCTCCTTGGAACTGCCTTTGAAGATACAGAGGCCAAAAGCCGGAGGGGGCCCTGGGGAGACAGACACCTAGAGGCTGGATGGGCCAGCACCTACCAGCAAGGGGCCTCCCAGACGGGTTCCTGTGGGGCATCAGAGGACCAAGGTCTTATCCTACTCAAAGTCTGGGCTTCTTCTTCTGAAAGGAAGAGCTGGACCCTTTCAGGTAAAGGATTTAGGAGGAAATGGAGCATCCATTGGTGCTACAGAGGGACAAACTGAGCCCAGAGAAAGGGCGTGCAAAGTCACGCCAGCCCAGGCAGCGCGACGGAGGCCCTGCCCCAGGTTGAGCGGTCCCCTCCCCCGGGAGACATCTGTCCGGTTGGGAACCTGCTGTGGGCGCGAGACCTGTCGCATGCTCTCGCAAAAGCGCCCTGCGAGGTCGGGGTCTGACCCTCGCTTTACAGACGAGGAAACCCAGGCTCAGGGAGGTGAAACCTCTCGCCAAAGTTCCCTCGACGGTCGGCAGCGCACCTCGGCCTCCGACCCAGGCCCGTGGGACCCCCGGCGTGTGCCGGCCCCCCGCCGGGTCTGCCGCCGTCCCTCCCTGCCCACGTCCGGCTCACGGCCACTGCTTCTCCTCTGTCAGGCCCAGCCCCCAGCGAGGAGGCCGGCACCCGGGCCCGCTTCCCACTGTCCGATGCCGTGGAGGAAGGTGCCTGGACGGCCGAGGTGGTGGGCCAGCAGGACAGTGCCCTCTCGCTGCAGCTCAGCACCCCGCCTAACGCCCCCATCGGCCTGTACCGCCTCAGCCTGGAGGCCTCCACCGGCTACCAGGGCTCCAGCTTCGTGCTGGGCCACTTCATCCTGCTCTTCAACCCCTGGTGCCCAGGTGAGCCATACGATCCGTCGGCAGGGTGCGGAGACGGGCAGGGCCGGACCCACCCACGGGGGCCACTGAGGGTGGGGGCAGTGGGGCAGAAGACACATCAAAGCAGGTTGAGCGAAACCCCCTCAGCGCCGTGCCGAGCTCCGGCCTCGCCAAAACCTTGCGATGTGAGTACTCTTATTATTATCCCTACTTATGGAGGAGGAGACAGGCACTCGGACACAAAATGACTTGCCCAAGGCCACACAGCTACCAAGGGATCTCACCCTGTGCCGGAGCTCATGTGTTCCCACGGCACTGTGCCGGGGCACAGACGCGTCTCGGGTTCAGAGCCCCATTCGGGAATGCGGTGCCCAGGGGAGGCCCAGGGCCATGGCTCCGCGTCTGGTGGTGTTTCGTGGGGCTCTGCTTGAAATCTCCCCAGACCGGCCTGGGGAGGGGAACCTGAGGGAGGTGGAGGGGTAGGGTAGCCAGGAGAGGCGGGCGGGAGCAATTCGGTTACCTACGCGCCTCTTTGTACGCTCCCTCAATTCCTCCTCTCAATGATCCCACGGGGGAGATTGTTAGTGTCCTCGATTCCCAGACAGGAAGCAGGCTCAGAGAGGTCAAATGGCTTTTGAAGGGTCCTCTAAGTAAGTAAGTGGGCAATGCTGGACAAAACTAGCAAGTTGCAGGGGACAGCTCAGAAGAAAGGAGGCTGGCTCGAGGAGGAAGCGGGAGGTGGGGGCTGCCACATCCCTTCCCGGGCCTCAGTTTCCCCATCTGACCGACAGGGCAGTCAGATCCATTTCTTTCTTGCTCCTGCACAACACGGCTGAGAGAGATGCCTTGTGGGCAGGCCTGGGAATGGGGAGTCCCTCCTCGACGCTGGGGTCCAGCCACACATTCCAGCCTCTCCAGCATCAGACGACCAGTTTCTTATTGGATCACTGCTTTTATCTTTTTCTTCACCATTTTGGGACATTTTATAACACATTTGAGGGGAAAGGTTTTTTATTTTCTCTTTTACAAATCTTGGCTTTCATTTTTTTTTTTTTTTAAGCTTATTTACTTGGAGAGAGAGGGGGCGAGCAGGGGAGGGACAGAGAGAAAGGGAGACGGAGAATTCCAAGCAGGCTCCGCGCTGTGAGCGCGGACCCCAATGCGGGGCTCAAACCCATGAACCGTGAGATCATGACGTGAACTGAAATCAAAAGTCAGGCGCTCAACCTACTGAGCCACCCAGGGACTCCGGCTTTTATTTTTAGGTATAACAGTAAGACAGGAGAACATCCTCTTCATATAAGCTTTAAGCATTACAGGGAAACGGCCCCCGTGTTGACTCTCCTCCTTGGGGAGCACCATTATTAGCTGTCTTGGGGGGCTCCTCTCCTTAGATTCGAGTGCATGTGCCTGGAGACATTGCTGCATTAATGGGTTTCTCTTAAACATAAAAGGATCCCACAGTATACATCAACCTATAACTTATTCCATTTTTCCCCTCTACCGTACATCCTGAGGATTTTTCCCCATCAGTGTGCATCCATCTGCTTTTTCTTCTTAAGAGCTCAGAATGTTCCACATCTTGCCAGTGAGGACAGTGTATTGATCTGGCCCTCCACCCAGGGACATGAGGTCGTCCCAGGGAGGTCCTCACAGGGAAGATCGCTCATCCTTGCTCACATGCCCTGGGGCCACATGACATGGTGCCTTGGGACAGAAGTGGCTTCCCTGGACCACACTGGAGATGTGTTTTGATCTCACCAATCTGCAAAGCTTATGGCTAGTTGCCAGCCCTGCCCGTGGAGCAGGAAGACGCCAGTGTCCCCCACTCGTCGACACTGCAGGGTCTCAAAAAGTTCAGGGAACAGGGAGCGGAGTTCTGGGGATGTCCCCTTCCTTTGGCCTTTCCTCCAGCCCCGCCCCATCCCCGCCCCGCCGATTGGGGTGGCTGTCAGCCAAGCAGCACAGTGACTAAAGTGACCCACATCCCAGGGCGGGAGCCCGGAGGGGACAGTTGGAGCTGATGATGCTGAGGCAGGAAGTTGGGCTCAGTGGAGGTGTGGGTGTGGGTGGGATAGGAAAATTGCTGTCCCTCTGGGGCCTGCCTCTGGAACCCGAGCCTCCTATCCCCGAGGGGGGTGGGAGGAAGGTTGGGGAGGTGGGGGGCGGGGGTGGGGTTCTCATCCCCACCTTGACCAGCAGAGCTGCGAGGAGGGCACGGTCCCTGCCTGCTGAGCCAGGGTGGGGCCGAGCTGACATGTACTGACACTCTCCCCACAGTGACGAAACACCCTGGGTTTTTCTTTCTCTTTCGTTCTCCCAACCTATCTGCTGACTTACCACTACCTAGTTCATTTACTGTAAGGCTATTTTTGTTGCAGTCCCGGGAGCCAACAGTGCAGGATATACAAGGCAAAAAATACTTGGCCACTTTCACATTTGCTTTCCTCCGTGCAATAAGAGAGGGTTTGCGGGTGGGCCAGACAGTGCCCGGGGACCCAAGGGGCCTGAGCCCCTGCATTCCGGGCCAGGGCCTCCATATTTTTAGGGACCCTTACAAATATTTTTTTTTTTTTTTTTAACGTTTATTTATTTTTGAGACAGGGAGAGACAGAGCATGAACGGGGGAGGGTCAGAGAGAGAGAGGAAGACACAGAATCCGAAACAGGCTCCAGGCTCCGAGCGGTCAGCACAGAGCCCGACGCGGGACTCGAACTCACGGACCGTGAGATCGTGACCTGAGCTGAAGTCGGATGCTTAACCGACTGAGCCACCCAGGCGCCCCCAAAATATTTTAATTTCTTTTAAAATCATGAGAAAAAAAAATGAATGTTTAGGTCAGAGGATGTGTTTTGACATGTGATATTAATGTATTTGTCATTGTACAAATGCAGTCATAAAGTATATTTAAAATTTTTTTTTTTTTATGGAGGAAGGGGCCCACAGAAGCAAAGATGCCCAGGGCCCACCAAAGTCATGACGTGGCCCTGGATTTCCTCTCCCCAGCCTCAGCTTCTTCACCTGTGAAGTGGCGAAGGTAAAGGCCAACTTGACCTTTACGGCTCCTGCCCTCTGGCCCCGACTGCCGCAGCCCTCCTTTCTGCGGTCATCAGCCACAGGCCACTGAGTTCCAGGCATTTCCTGGCAGCCGCACCTTTGCTGTCTCTGGTCCTCTGCTTAGAATGTCATCCCGCCAGGCTCCAAGTATCTAAATCTTAGTCCTTCATCAAGGCGGCATTCAGAGGTCACCTGTTCCAGATGGCCCTCCCGGACCCCCTCGAGGCGGACAGGATCCCGACTCCCCTGAGCCTCGGTGACCCTAGTGGGCTTTCTCTCTGCCTTGAATTACGCTCCTGCTCACACCGGCTGAGGGCTTTAGCTTGCAAAACACCTCCCAGATCTGCATTCCATGTTATGGCGCCTGGCTGCCCTATCTGTGGTGACCCTGTGCCCTGCCAGACCCAGAGCTGAGGCCCCTTCTTTCCCATCCCCAGGGGATGCTGTATACCTGGACTCGGATGAGGAGCGGCAAGAGTACATCCTCACCCAGCATGGCTTCATCTACCAGGGCTCGGCCAAGTTCATCAAGAACATACCCTGGAACTTTGGGCAGGTAGGGCCGCACGCTGCCTTTTCCACCGCTACAGGCCCACTGTGTGCTGGGCCCTGGGTCTGAGGCGCTGAAAGCTTCAGAGGTGGGAGCTGGTCTCGGGGATGTGACCGCAGGCTGTCAGGGATTCAAGGGCCCCGAAATGGCTGGAGGCTCAGAGAGGGCCCAGGCCAAGCCCGAGATCATACGGCAAAGGGTTGCCCTACCCACCGTGGGAATGGCAGCCCCAGATTCAAGGTGGGGAAAGAATCAGGAGAGCCTTTGGGAATTGTGGGGCCGGTCGGTGCTCCAGGAGGGAGAAAGGGAACATTTAAGGCCATATAACTAAGTAATAAAAATGCTCACTATGTGCTAAGTAAGTCCCGAGAGGAGGCTTTAAACCATCATCTCGATCAGTGGTTTTCAAACTTGAGCGTACATTAGAAATCACCAGAAAAATGTGTTAAAGCACAGATCACTGAGTCCCCACCTTTAGTTTCTGATTCAGTAGGGCTGGGTGCGGGCTGAGAATTCGAATTTCCAACTAGATCGCAGATGATGCTGATGCTGCTGACCAGTGGTCATACTTTGCGAACCACTGGTTGTATCAGTCAGCTGCTGCTGAATAACAAACAAGCCTGAAATGTACACACTTAACAACACGTTTACAACTTAACAACAACCATTTATTATTTCTTACAAATTCATGGGTCAACCAGAGCCTAGCTATCTAGGCTGGGCTGGGCTGACCTCAGCTAGATGGCTCATCCCTGTTCCATGTGGTTCCTCACCTTCCAGCAGGTCATCCTAGGCTGGTGGTTCAAACTAGTCATCTTATTTCCTCTGCCATCCAGCCTCCCATGAAAGTTCTTGAGACATTGCTGAGAAAACTCATGAAGCAAGAGTCCTCCCACTCCTGGCCCTTCAACCTCCTGGTGTGTTAGGGGCTGTTGACCTTCTGACATGGGATTCACCTTTAGACTTTTTCCAACAGCCCCTGGGGTGGGGTTTCCATATTCGGGCCTCCAGAGTCCTGCCCTGGGGCCACAGAGAAGTCTTCTCTGTGTGCTCTGGAGCTCTGACCTCAGTTTCCCCATCTGAATATTGGGGATAATGGTTGTAAGCATATCTGCCCAGGAACCTGTAGCCTGCTGTGAGATGTACATGAAATGGTGGTATGACCGGGATACATAACATGCATCAAGAAGTAAATTGGCTTTTCTTTCCCAGGGCTCTGTATTTTACCCTGACCAACAGAACAAAGCCAAGTCCTTCCTTTAATCCCCTGAGTTCCTGTTTTGGGTCCAGGCTTGTGTTGAGCCACTGGACACAGCCCTTGTGGATCTTCGGGAAGCCATCACAATCCGGGATGATAAGACCTAGAGAAAGGAAGTGAATAAATTGTCTGTGGGGATCAGGGAGATTCCTGAAATAGGGCAAGGTCTGAGCTGGGCTTTGGAGGAGGCGGAAATGCGGTCTACTAAGCAAGGGGAAGTGCCTGAGCAAAAGCTCAGAAGAGTCATGCTTAAGAAGAATTTTGTAGCCTTGGGGAGCACTGTATGTGCGAAGGAGCCCCAAGAGATGAAGAGAGAAAAGTCAGCAGTGTCCGGGTTGTGAATGTCAGGCTGATGGCACTAGGGAGCCACAAAAGGGCTCAGAGCCATGGGGAAGCTGTTCTGCAGCATGGAGGGAGGCCTGAGATAAAGTCTGCTTTGGGGCAAGACCACAGAGATGGGGAGGAGGGGCCAGGTTGCCTTTGGACTTGTCAGACTAGGTGGTGCGGTGTAATGAGACAAGGAGGGAGGATCCTACTTTTCATAATGACAATGAGGATGAGAAGGTGTGAGCCATACAGAGAGTAGCAGGAAGAACATTCCAAGCAAAGGAAAAATAGTAAGTGCAAAGGCCCTGGGGCCATGAGTGTGGGTGAGAGTGGTGATAAGAGGTCAGAGATGGGGTGTGGCCCGGATTGTGAAGGGCCTTGCAGCTCACAGGGAAAGTCTAAATTTTATCCTGGGTGCAGTGGAAACGGGCGTCATAAGACTAGATTTATATATACAATTGACCTCAGTTCCAATCAGAGCAGTGTGTGGGGGTGGGGTGGGGGCAGGAGAGGAATCTCATCAGCTCTGCAGGGTGAGTCAGGCCTTAGGGGAAGTGGGATATTTGGCAGAGCAGAGATGGGAAAGGGGCGGTGGCAGGGCCTGAGGTGACTCTGAGGAGAGGGACGCTCCAGGGACACTGTAGTTTCTACTCCAAATCCCCAGGACCCCCCTAGCCAGGCTCTGAACGCAGGCACATCCCCTTCCTCTTTCTCACACTTTGTCACTGTCCCACCCCACCCCGTCCCGGGCCAGACAAAGCCGGCATCGCAGAGATGTGGCAGACCCAGCCTGGACCTCCCTAGTGCGAGAGGTGGACCAGAGAGGACGTAGAGCTGCAGAGCTTCAAGGCAGGCTTCCCGGAGGAGGTGACTTCTCATTTCCCTCATCCTCCTCTTGTTTCCTACAACACAGTTTGAAGACGGGATCCTGGACATTTGCTTGACGCTCCTGGACATGAACCCCAAGTTCCTGAGGGATGCCGGCCGCGACTGCTCCCGCCGCAGCAGTCCCGTCTACGTGGGCCGGGTGGTGAGCGGCATGGTGAGTGAGTGGCTGGCCCGCCCCGGGGTCGAGGCCCACGACGGGCCCCAGCGGACTCCTCCCTTCCTGTGATATGGAGGCTGTGCTCCACACTGGGCTCGGTAGGGGGACTCTCAGCTAAGAGTGCGTGTATTTGGAAAGGCAGGATTTACACCAAAAAGGGTAATGTCGTGTGGTCCCTAACTCACTCATTCATTCATTCATTCATTCACTCATTCGGCAAATAGTTACCAAGTGCCACCTGTGTCCTAGGCACTGGGGAAACAGCCGGGTATAAGCCATGTATGGTCTCTAAGTTCATGGAGCTTATGTTCTAGTGGGTGGGTGGGAGGAGACAGAAATGTCATTAACAGAGACATTAACAGAAATGTCAAGTGAACGAGGGCACAATCGTAGGCGATAACGCACGTACTGAAGGAAGCCAGAGGGTGTGAGGGGGTCTAACTGCGGAGTCCAACTTCGGGGAGGAGCTGTGGGGGCCTCCCTAAGTGGTGATCCTTCAGCTGATATAGGAACTCGGAGACGAACATCCCAGGCAGGGGGCAGTTTGTGCCAAGGCCCTGAGGAGGGAAAAACTTCGGCAGGTTCGAGGAGCAAAAAGGAGGCTGGTGCTGCCGGAGTGGAGTGAGCAAGGGGGTGCGGGGTGCCCGACGTGGGCAGGGATTAGACCACGCAGACCTCATGGACCCCGGTCGGGAAGCTGGATGTTATTCCCAAGGCAACGGAGTTTGGGAGGAATGACACAATCCGGGCAGGGGCCAGAGAGGGTCTTCGTAAAACTCAGATCACCTCTTATCACCCTCCTGCCGCCCCATGGACAAGTTCACATCTCCAGCGTCACCTTCGTAACCTCGACCCCTCTCCACCTCCTCCCTCCCCCTTTTCTCTCTTCCACCTGGGGCTCCGGCCCCAACCGTCTCCCACATACCGGCCTGTCATACCTTGGTATCTTTGCATGGGCTGTTCCCTCATCCTAAACTCCCTTCCCTGCCTTTCCCCACGCACTGAACTCACAGCACCTGCTTCCCAGGCTCAGTCCCTCCGATGCCCCCGCTGGTTGTAGGTCAACTGCAACGATGACCAGGGCGTGCTGCTGGGGCGCTGGGACAACAACTACGGGGACGGCATCAGCCCCATGTTCTGGATCGGCAGTGTGGACATTCTGCGGCGCTGGAAGAGCTCCGGCTGCCAGCGTGTCAAGTACGGCCAGTGCTGGGTCTTCGCGGCTGTGGCCTGCACGGGTGAGCTGCACGCTGGATGGGCGGAGGGCCTGGAACCGGCGCCGGGAGGGGGGCAGGGAGAGCTCTCCAGTGGGAATCAGCAGCCCCCGGTTCCGGTCCTGCTTCTGCCTCCAACACCACCCATGTGCCGTGTGGCCTGGAGTCAGCAGCTGCCCCTCTCCGGTCCTTTGTCCAACAACTAGCCCTCAGGTGGTCATTGGGACCAAGGGATGTCATTTGGGAGGCAGCGTGGGCTCAGGGTTGACGATGCGGGCTTTGGAGCACACCCGAATTAAATATCCCCAGTGACAGTCGCCTGCTCTGTGACCTTGAGCAAATGACTTCTTTCTGAACCTCAGTGTCCTCATCTGTAAAATGGGGGTAAAAGGACCTATCTCCTACGGGGGGTTGATATAAAGCTGCTCAGCAGAGAATTCGGCCTAGGGCAGCTCTCAGTAAATATTAGCTATTAGTAGCTTGACAATAACAGCAATATCAATGTCAAGACAGGGAAGGCACTTTGTAAAACGCAGACGAGGAAAGACAAAGCGACGTAAACCCAAGAAGTAAAATGAATCTTTAAGTAATCTTAAAAATTCGAGCCCAGGGGCGCCTGGGTGGCGCAGTCGGTTAAGCGTCCGACTTCAGCCAGGTCGCGATCTCGCGGTCCGTGAGTTCGAGCCCCGCGTCGGGCTCTGGGCTGATGGCTCAGAGCCTGGAGCCTGTTTCCGATTCTGTGTCTCCCTCTCTCTCTGCCCCTCCCCCGTTCATGCTCTGTCTCTCTCTGTCCCAAAAATAAATAAACGTTGAAAAAAAAAAAAAAAATTAAAAAAAAAAAATTCGAGCCCAGAAAATGCTGAAGGTGGTTCTGGGTTGATGATGGTCCGTATGGCAGTGGATGAGTGGCCTGAACCAGTTAGAAACACAGACGCTGGATCCATGGCCTGAATTCAGATCCCAGCTCCGCCCTACCCGCTGTGTCCCCGGACAATCACGACCTTCTCTGAGCCTCAGCTCTGCCACACGGGACGTAACAACAGCGCCTTTAGCCTGGGGCCACTGCGAGGATTGAAAGAGTTAACATGTGCAAAGCGCGTGAAATGATTTCGGATGCATAACAGTAATTATTTATCTCCTGCTGTATTGTTCTCACTACAATTACTGTAGCTGTCATTTCTTAGGCTCAGGAAATCTAAGAGGCGGGTCCTGGTTCCCAGCTTCTCTGACTCCGGGACCAGGCCCCAGGCCCAGAGAAGGGCCTGCGGGAGCCCCAGCGCTGTCCTCCACACCAGCGGTCTGGAGGCCGTGTGGCCCGGGCTCCCAGCTGGGCTGTCCCTGCTCCCCCTTCTCCACGGCCACACCACCCGTGACTGCCAGCTCCTGGGACCTATGCGTTCCCTTTTCTTGTGCAATCCCAGACCCCTTCCTCTGAGGGGCCCACGGGTTTTCTGGAGACACATCACCAGCCATGTCCTGGGTCCCCCAAGCTCACCTTGCAGACACCTCCCTCCCCTGGGCTGTGACCTCCGGAGGGCTTAGCTGTGGATCTTGCGCTCGACCCCTCTCTCCCCAAGGCGAGGGCTGAGTCTGGGTCCCTGCAGCCTTCTCCCAGGCCTGGCCTGTGACAGAACCGGGGAAAGCCGGTTGTGGCTTACGTTTGTGCACAGGCCCTGGGGCCTCTGCCGGGAGCTGCAGGCGGGTGGGGGGTGGACGAGGCCCAGGGACTCCCCTGGGGTCGGGCTGCCTGTTTGGAATCCCAGCTCTGCCTCCGGCCCCTGGAGGGGTCCTGGGAGGACTTGGGCAAGACAGCTGGTGTCTCCAAGCCTGTTTCCTCACCTAGAAAAGGGACACAATGGTGACTGACCAAATTCACAGAGAGCTCTTAGGACCCGGGCAGATGTCACTGGTTCAGGTCAGGCTCGGGTTTGTGGAGGAAGGTGGGATTCCTCAGCTGGATCCTGGAGCATTTCTGGAATGTCCACGAGTCAGCCAACAGTGACTGGCTGGGCGTTTGCAGGGACGGGCACCACTGTGCTCTTACGCCCTGGGCACCGGGGCAGACGATACTGCCCACACCCACCGTCTCTCTGAATCACCACAGCGTTCCCCCAAAGCTGCTATTTATTAGCTCCCCGTAGAGGAGGAAATGGAGTCCCGGAGACCGGAAGTGGCTGCCCAAGGTCACACAGCTGGTGAGCAGCACAGCCAGGCTTGAAACCAGGGGTCCTCGGTTCTGGGGCAGCCTCGCGGCCTGAGACTGATGGTGAGACCTCTTGGGACACTATCTTTTGGACACCGGTGGCGCCGTGCTCCTCAGGGACAGGCCTCCCCCCACGTCTGGTCTATATTCTGAGGCCTGTGATGTGGTGACGGGGCAAGGTCCGGGGTTGGGACACCAGCCTCTGCCAAAGGGCAGCAAAGAGCCTACTGCCCAGGTCCCAGGACAAGCAACCAGGCTGGAGGCAGAGGATGAGCACTGTCCTTCCTCTGTCCCCTCCCAGGGGCCCTCGTGTCTCCTGGCCGGCGTCCAGGGCCGTCCCAGAAGCTCTTGTCCGGCTTGATGGAGGGCCAAGGGCGACAGAGCTAAGGTCACACATCCTGCCCCCTCACCCCCACCCTCTATCTCAGAGACTCGGTCTCAATCAAGACTAAAAGACAAAAGTCCCCCAGGTTACATTTAGTAAGGCTTTCCTCACTTTTTAAAAGAGATATTTACTTTCTTTATCCCACCCCGAGAATATGTTACTTTCACAAAACACATAAAAAACACGGGAAAAAATGAGAGAGTGAGAAGACACCCAAAATGCCGTGTGTCAGGAGCACCCCACCGCTCAGGCACGAATCGTGCCCCCGGCTTCCCTCCTGGCCAGCGGCTGTCCTGTCACCGCAACCTGGCCCCTCCCCCGCCACTACGACCTCTGTAAACCGTGCCTGGGCGTGAGCACAGGGCCCTCTTCTTCCCCGATGGTGTCCCAACGCGACTGCCGGCCCTGTGTGCATACCCCAACCCCGTGTCGTAGAGGAGGACACAAGGCCCGGAGAGGTGGGGGGACTGGCCTCGGCTCACGCAGCCCACAGCAGCCGGGGCTTGAATGGAAGCCTCTCCCTGCTCCCCACCCCCACCCCACCCCGACCCTTGTTCCCTCCTCTGCCTGCTTCACTATTTGCTCCCTGCCCTGAATTTCCACGGTTCCTTTGCTCCTTCCCTTACCCCCTTCCTCCTCTCCTCTCTCCACTTCATCCACTTGACAAAATTGTCTGTGCCAGGCCTGTCCTGGGTCTGGGCACCTAAAGGAAGACAGATCCCTCGCTGCCCTCAGAGGACTAGTTACATAATCCCTCCCGTGTCCTTACATTGAGAATGATGATAAATCCCCAGTCTTGCTACGAATGCAAATGAAACAATCTAAACCTGGCGGGTGGCCTTCCCGGCTGAGGGAACAGCAAATGCCAATGCCCTGTGGCTGGCGGGAGTGTAGAGAGTGCCGGAGGGACAGCAAGTGTGACTGGAGGGAAGTGTGCAGGAGGCGGTCAGGGGCCAAACCTTGTACGGCCAAAGGCCACAGCCCGAAGTCTGGCCTTGACCTCAGCGGCCATAGGGAGATACCGAAGGCTTAGCAGGGGAGTGTTGATGTCAGACTTGCATTTTGGGGTCTTCTTCTGTTAGCTGTGATGTGAAGAGTCAGAGCGGACATGGGGTGACCGGCGAAGTGGGCACCACCATCCAGCTGAGGGGATGACGCCTGCTCTCACTACCTAGACAATGGGTGCAATGCTGCCTGGGATACAGATGGGCATGTGGAGGCCCAAAGCAGGGCAGATGTCTCCAGAGCCTAATCCCTCTCTCCATCACGTCCTCCTCCCACCCTAGTGCTGCGGTGCCTCGGCATCCCCACCCGAGTGGTGACCAACTATAACTCGGCCCACGACCAGAACAGCAACCTGCTCATCGAGTACTTCCGCAACGAGTTTGGGGAGATCCAGGGTGACAAGAGCGAGATGATCTGGTGAGCTGGGGCCCAGGGTCAGGGGTAGAGCCCACTGGGGAGGGTCCCGCGGAATGGAAAGCCGGGAAGACTTCTCGGAGGAGGTCACATTTGAATTGGGTTTCAAAGTTGAACAGTATTTGGACAAGGGGGAACAGGACTTGGGGAGGGCTCTCCAGGTAGGGCCCCAGCGGGAGCAAAGGCCAAGAGGAGGGAAAGTCATGAAGTGCATGAAAAGGTGTCAGGGGATTGGATTTTCAGGAGTCTGGAATGCCAGGTTAGGGGGTCTGGGCTTGCCTCCCAAGGCAACAGGTGCAACAGGTTGTCACCAAAGTCTTCATACTTGGAGAGGGACACAGATGACACCGGAGAAGCTGACAGAAGGAGGCTGGGGTGTGTTCCAGGTGCACAGGGATGAGGCCTGAACCGGGGCAGAGCCCTTGGGCTGGAAAAGAAGGGACAGCAGAGAAGTGAGGAGGTCCCATCGGCTGGACTAGAGGAGCCACCGAAAGCGGAGGATTGTGGGAGGGGGCGATGACAGTGACTCCGGGGTAGCAGCGAGCGCCTGGCTAGGGCCCAGGGGAGGAAAAGCAAAGAAGGGTGTCGGGGACACCCTGGGTTCAGCTTGGGACAGGCAAGTGTGGACTGCCCGTGGGAGGTGACAGTGAAAGTCTTGAGTTTGAGTCCTGGCCAACGTTCGCCTCGTTTCCCCAACAGGAACTTCCACTGCTGGGTGGAGTCATGGATGAGCAGGCCAGACCTGCAGCCGGGCTACGAGGGGTGGCAGGCCCTCGACCCCACACCCCAGGAGAAGAGCGAAGGTGGGTGGGTGTGGCCCTCTTCCCCAGGCGGGGAAACTGAGTCTTGGAGAGGACTCCCCCACAGTCACTTGGCCGGTTCTAACCCCAGTGTGGCTGATTCCAGAGACCCCTGACTAGCCCGCACGAGGGTGGGAGCCCTCCGTTGACCGTGTATGTAATTCACACGCGTTGTGGCAAACAGAGATTATGAAAAAGCACAAAGGAAAAAAAATCAAATCGCATCTCTGTCCTCTTCCCCCGCAGAGGAAGTATCATTCACGTTCACACACAGCTTCTAGTAATTTCCTATTACATACTCGTGTGTATGTGTGTGTGTGAGAGAGAGACAGAGACAGAGACAGGGAAAGAAAGAGGGAGAGAGAGACAGAACGCCACAGCAAAATCGGGTGAAACCAAATGGATCCTTTCTCAGAAGCATATTTTTAAATGCATAGAATATATTACCCAGGGTAACAAAGAAAAGCAATTACACCGAGACAGAGTTATCAACGTTTTTTAAAAATAAATTTATGATATAATAATATATGCCTTACATAACAAGATCTAGGGGTGGAGATAGTAAGTTCCATTATGTACTCATAGAGATGCATAGAAGTGATATTTCCAGTTATCTATGACAACTATAAAGCGATATAGAAATATCTGTGGTCCTTATGGCTGACAAGTCATAAGTGCATCTAAGACGATGGTTTGTCTGCTTTCACAATCGAAGGAAGTGTCATCAGAATTCAGTGAAGATAAAGATGTGATTTTTTCCCATCCAAGTTCACGGGCCTCTGAATTCTGTTTGCAGCGCTTTGGGGGTCCTTTGGTCCCTGCATTAAGATCTCGGGCTGCACATGGCCTTTTGTCTTGGTTCCATCACTTCTCCGTATATCGCCGGCCTTTCTCGATCAGAGAGTTTTGGGTGATTTTAGATTTAAATTAATATTGCTGCGTTCCATCGAGTGGATATACTGTAGTGTAGCTACCCAGCCTCTAGCCCTCAACCTTGAACTGTGTTGAGCGGTCAGAAGCAGTTGTAAACCCCACGGAGATAAACACCCGGCTCTCCTGTTCATTCGGTCAACGTGCCCTCCCCGAGAATGTTGTTGGTCCCTGGCTACAGGTCTCTGCGCGGGCAGGAAGCAAGACAGACACACTGCCTTCTGCCCTGTGGCTCCCTCATCGCCTCGGGATGCCTGGCGACACGCTTCTATTTTATTTATCAGACCCTTACATGGCATTTAGCATATGCAAATCCTCATTAGCTGGGTACAAATATCCGCACATAAAACAGGCTTAGGGAAGGGAAGTAACTTGCCCAAGGTCACACAGCTAACAAGAGACCAGCTGAGATTTGAACCCCAGAGGCCGGTCCGGCTCCGGAGTCTCCACTCTTCATTCTTAGTCTCTGCCGCCTTCCCAGAAATGGAGTCCCTGAGTCAAAGGGCTGGATGGTGTTGGGATTCTTTGCTACATGTGGTTGAAATGGGGGAGGTTTGAGAGGGTGCCACTCCCCCC